TACCCCAAACCCCTCCCACTCTCCCGTCAGCCCCGGTGGGGTGATCCCCGTGGGGGGAAATGTCACCATCCGGTGTCGGAATCAGCTCCTGGGCATGAGGTTCCTCCTCTACAAGGATGAAGATGGGAACTATCCAAATTACACAGACCCTGCTGGCTCTGAGGCTGAATTTCCCATCACCAGCGCCAGACAGGAACACGGTGGCAACTACACCTGTCGTTATAGCCACAGAACAGACCCACCTAACTACTCGAAGCCCAGCGACCCTGTGCAGATCATTGTAGCAGGTGAGGAGCCCAGACCGGCATCTCCTGCCCCACACCCAGCTAGATCCCTGGGGGGCTCGCACCGATGGGCCACTCAGAGCCAGGCTCTGCCCTGGGCCCAGCAGAGGGGACGTCCGACCGGGGAGCGGGGACGGAGTCACTGGGGGGGTCCCAGACAGTGGGGAGCAGCCTTCTACCCTGCACATGGTCTGACGCTACCCTAGTCACCGCGGTGTCGGGCGCCTGCCAGTCGAGCATTAAGGGACGTGGCCCCGTCTGTCACGGTCGGGTCATTCTCCCTCGTCCTCTCCCCGGGGGAGGTCTGTGCCCACCATGGAGGGTCTGGTCTGGGGCGATTTGGGGGGTCAATGGCCACGCTGCCCTGGGTCAATAACGGAGCAGGTCGGCCGGGGCAGGGCGCTGGCCTTGGAGCCGGAGGTGGGGAGGTTTGGGGGGGAGCTCTTTCTGCAGCCTGGGCCCGGCCCCAGAGGAAGTTCTGTCCCCTGCCCAGACGAGCCTGACCCTGATTGTGGCCGGGCTGGAGGCAGGGAGCCGTCACCCCGGGGTCCCCCCAGAGCTGTGGGCTGTTGTTGGGTGTCTGCCCTGCAGCTGGGGGCCGGCGGGAGGCACCCGGGCCTGCTCCGATGGAGCTGAAAATAGCAATGGAGCCGTGGGCGCGCAGGACTAGCCGCTCATGAGTGCACCCAGCCCAGGCCCACGCACCCGGCACTCGCAGCACCCTGCAAACGGAGCCGTGGATATGCTGGCCTCAGCCCTCGGGCACCTCGGAGATCAGGGCAGAGACCTCGAACTTGACTCCGTCTGCGGGAAGCCGATGCAGGGGTCAGCTCCAGCTGTGCACTGCGCCAGAGAACAGCCCCGTTGCTCTGTGTCCAGGGCAGGCCAGATGCACTGAATGAGGCAGGGGCCACACACGGGCATATGAGGATCCCCAGAACTAGGGAGCCGCGGCTCGGTGTCTGTGGGGCTGGGAGCCCAGCTCGCAGGGCCGGGATTCTGGGTGGGGGAACTCTCGGATCTGGGAGAGAATCTCTGCCTCGGGGCCCCTGGATCTGCCCATGGCTGCGACCGGCCGGGGAGGCTGGGGCTGGGTGGGTGACCGGGTCTGGCTCTCACAGCCTGTCTCCTGTGCACAGATCCCAGCTTACCCAGACCCTCCATCTCTCTGAGCCCCACTGGGGTCACCGCCCCAGGGGCAGACGCCACCATCTGGTGTCAGGGGCAGCGCCAGGACATGAGTCACTGAGGGGTTCCTGAGCCATGGGGGAGCAGCAGCCACTGGAGATTCGGGGCTGAGGCTGTGCAGATCTCTGCCCCTAAGTTCCCTCTAAGCTGCCGCGGTCAGGGAGAGGAACTTCTCCCCTGGCCCTGGGCTGTTGCAG